AGTGACTTTATTCAGTGGCGAGTCACGTCCGCCATGTCACAGTGTTGTTAAACGGACATATGTGGCTTTTTATAGGGAGAACGCTTGCCAGGCGAAAATCCATCACGTCCTGGAACACTGCCGCCGGACCATTTGCTGGAACGGGAAAATCCCGAACCACCCAGCTGGCAACACGAGGAGGTTGTTCGGCAAGCCAGCCACTGTGGTTGGTGAGATTGTCTTGTAACGTGTTATACCCAACGCTCCAAGCGTTTTGACAGGCTGTGGATGGGCTGTTCACTCTCGTCGCGTATTGTCTCGCTAACACAAGGTCTCGTGCTGCATGTTTCCCGTATCAGACCGAATAGCTTACGATGATTGCCAACGGAAGCGGCTGTTTACATCTCCGAGGCACAATGAAACCACCAGATTTTGCGGTCTTTCTTCAGGAAAGCACGCAGTTTTGCCCAGTCGGAATACGTCAGCGAGCATCCATTAGTTCCAGAGACTGTGTAGAGACCCAATATCCAGTTTTGCAATTTGATTTGCCACATGAAGACATGCCTGCTGATAGTAACGTTTGACGAATATGCGACCAGTGATCTTCGATGGTGTTCACTTGGGCGCTTACTCAGCCCGGATGTCAGCGCACTTTGATACGCATTCAGAAGAGATGGCTTCGCCAGCTGGCTGGTGTCAATCCGTTCACCATTATCTTTCGGAGAAAGTGAAGGAAGCACCGCATGTCCAGGCTCTTTGTTTCGTTTCAACACGGAAAGCTCATGTCGCATCTCTTTCACAGTAAGTTGTGTAACTTTTGCTTCCCACGATGGCTCAGGCGATTCGGCACGTGTCAAAGTCGCAGCAGGCCTGCTGAACTGCTCTTCTAAATTTCCCGCCCAACAAGCTAGTCGACGACGCTGAGAATGGATCAACTGTCCGTCTTTCTCAGCTATTCTCGCTAACGGATGACTTTCTCCGACTCGTGTTCACGATGGGCTGGAATAACACTACTGTTTCCAATGGTACCGGATTTTTCCATCTCATGGGCCCTTGCCATCCACCACCGTTCCCGATCGATTCGAAGATTCCTTGTCAGACGTTGTTTCAGAGAGGTGCGGACACGCTGAATCTCAGTACCCATCGGAAGCTGTTTCCTTGCTTTGATCAAGCTGATCGACACCTCAGAGATGCATTCGCAGTTAGGACGTCTCAAGTTGGGTACACAGTACGTCAAAGGCATTTTTCATCGCACATTTGAGACGGGCCCAGTCAGCGTTCGGCTCCCCAACCTCATCACTGACAATTGGTGGGCCAGTTCGTCATGATATTGCTGAACTGCAGATTACGACTTCAAGTTACGGGTTAGCAAATAGGCGCTTCTTTGAAGCGGGTAGATTGAGCACCAAGCGTACGCGCACTAGAACAGGGTCGGAATCCATGCACGTGGTCCAAATTGACCAACAGCCTGTGACTTATGCGCAACATCTATAGCCTCTGGCAATGTAGTCACTCTAGATCCAGCTCATTGAGAGATTCAGTGTGTGCCAAGTGACGCGATGTGAATGTTTGTGCTGGAATGCGGTGCTGCTAAGGTAAAGATTGTGGTTGGCTCACAGTTGCAGGCACGGATCACTATTGTCTGCTCGACGTGCATCGACTACAAAGCGGCCGTCCAAGTGTTCAGAGTCTGAAAGAGAACCCACTTGAGCATTCATGTTACCAGCAACAACCACGATGTCCGTATTCTTCGCCATGCGAAAAGGAGATGAAAGTTCTTGATTGAAATCGTTTCCCATACCTTCTGAACTGCGTTCAGTAGCGGGATAAACTGGGGTGATGAAAAGACACCTTGTCTTCACGGTGCTTATTAACCCCAATAGAGGTTCGAAGTCGTACAGCACATATGCGGGTGTTCACCGGTATCCAGCCGAGCAGATTGCTTTCAGCATATCTGATGAGGTTAATATCAACATCGTAATTACCTTGAGCCATTGACTCACTATCACCAGAGGCACGAATGGTGTAGCCGTCATCATCAGATCCAGAACCAGGGAGTCGAGAATTTGTCACGCTGCTGTTATCTTATATGTGTGTTTCGGAGACACAGCAGACATCAATACAAAGAGAGTGAAGCGTGCGAGTCAGTGCCGCCTGATGGCCAATCTGACCTAGAGTGCGGACGTTAAAAGATCCAATGTACAATAAAACTAGGTTTGGTGGAGGAGCAACATGTATCGCTGACAACAGTTGCGAGGTCAGCGTCTGTTTCTTGCTGATTACAGGGAAGATGAGAGTTGTGAGGGGAGAGAAAAATAAGAAGTAGAGAGAGCATCGTCGACATGGTCGAGAGGGCAGCTGATACTCTTCGGCTGCCCATTCCGAGAGAGGGGTTTTGTTCGAGGTGCTCTGCCTCTAGCCTCTAACTCACTATGCAGTGGGGTACATCGGACTTCGTTTGAGTGACTCCACCGGGAGGTTTTGGTTCAATAGTCTAACCCACAAGACAGCTGGGAGCAACTCCAGCTCGTTCATTTATTTGTGTTGCCACGACTGCACTACTATTTTCGAGCTGCTTGCAAGTATTTTTCCCCTCATTGTGCAATAGGTCTCTCCTTTATCTGCATCGATGCTAATCTCGCTATTACAACGGTACGATCCTAACGTCTACGTTCTCCTCCGATCAATAGAGCAGTGTCAGGTGGCACTTCTTAGACTCCTTTAGAGTCGTGCTTACCTGATATTTCACGGACTTGAGGTCGATCACATTTAGTCCGAACATCCTGAGGAGAGGTTAGTACCCTCTTACAGTACGCCTAATAGTTTCCCCCACTGATAGTCAGCATAATGCTTTGGAAGCGGCCAAAGCTCTGTTATCAGCAGAAGGCTCCTTGGTACTGCACAGCAGCTTTAATCACTGTGCTGTTGCTTTCTTACATTTGTTCACCTTTGTTAACCACTCTGGGTCCTCATTTCCATTTCATCGCTCTAGACTTGCCTTTCACTCTCTGCTCCTTGGACCAATCCATGTTCTTGGTGATTATCGTTTCTTTTATTTAGTAGGGCTAAAGAGTGTCATGTGCTAATCATCGTGGCAGCGTTCTACTACTGTACTGTTCTCCTACTGTCGTGCATCGGGCTGCGGCGGCTCACTGATCTTCGTGAGAAGTTCGGCTGTCTGCCACCTTGGCAGAGGCTTCCCTAACTGCATTTTTACTCTGACACAGCCTGCATCCGCGTACCTACAACCAGCCCACCATGTACTTTTCCTTGACTTGGAGGCCTGCTTTGATCATTTAGATCGCACCTGTTTGTGACAGGGACAGTCTGTTAATAGTGTATTTGTAAAACCCCTCTGTCACACTGCTCTCTTTGCCGTGTAGGTGTCTGTGGGAGACCCTTTAGTTTGCTACAACGATTGAAATACATCAGGGCTACCTCATTTTCTTTTGTCATTAAACTGACCGTGAATGATCTTCCTTGCATTCTTCCATTACTCCTGGGGTCGATCTTCTCCTAGACTACCGAATTAAATGCTGAGTACGCGGATGCCGTAACTCTCTTTGGATTGGGCGCAGTTACTATACTTGTGCTACTAAGTTATCTGGCGGAAAGTGTTGCACGCTTTTGCATGTGTTAAGCGCTTTCGAAGCCAAAACACTATTTCAGGACTGAACCAATTCACTGCCAGTTCTCTCTATCACCGAATATCCGTTCGAAACTCATCGATGGGTTGGTTTACTTACCTTGGTAGCTGTCAACTCTGGTGGTCACATCGTGGGAGCAAATAGTGCTAAAGGACGAGCTTTTCATTGTTGTTGTAGAAGCAGGAGTAAACTCATCGTTAAACTGAGGTTTACTGGTTGTTGTCGTTTACGTCGATGGGGGCCTTTGGAACAACCACATAAGTGGTTGGATATTTCGTCGGAAATGACGCTGTTACGAAATCAGTGACGCTTATGCATTCGTCCCTTTATTCCTGATTCTCAACTCTTCCACCTGATCAATTTATCCACTTTCTGTTATTTGTCACTATCGTTACTATTTTGACTACGTGTATGAAATCATAAATCCAGCGCACCTCGGTACACTCATTAGCGTTGACAAACCGGACGGAATTGAGCTTATTTCTGTTTTCCTTGCTGAGGTTGATGTTGCATACATTATGTTTCTTCACCGCAGTTGGGTTGCACTGACTTACACTAAAGCTAGCTCTTCTAAACCTAGATAAAAATTATTCAACTTTATTTGATTTGCTCGTTGAGACTGCTAATATTTACTGGGGTGAAGGAGTGCACGGTCCTCGTGACCGTGCTAGGCTCAGAGAGTGGTTCCATCCAGTGTGGAGCAGACTACGGCCCTACCACCCCCTTGTGTACGTCTGGTACGCATGTTAGCCCACATAGATAGACAGGAGTGCTGCTGCTGTGCATGTTGATGAAGTGTGGGTCGGCTCCGTTGATGAAACGTGCCTCCCATCCACATGCCTCCCGATCTTATTCCTTCGGGTTTACACTGGATATGGGGTGCGTGGATGGAGTTGTGGGTGGTACTGCGCAAGCCATTCGTGGTCCCTCTAGGCGCAAGTATCCTGCGGCTATCCCCATGGAGGTCGCAATGATAGGCAAATCCGAAACTGGATGCCGACCACCATTAGCAACAGTCTAACGGATAGACATAGAACCAAACAAAACCATGAAAATCACAGAAAGAAGACATTTTTAATCACCCCATCATCATGGCACATTAGCTGAAGGTGAGAAACACGCGCCCATTTGGATACTCATTGGAATGCTCAGTTCATAAGTCTTGTTTGATCAGTTACTAAACAGGGGCCCAATCATCCCCATGATATTAGCACACTTGCTGGAATACAATGTCCCACCGGGATGAAGCAAGGTGCAGTCACTTTATTTAGTGGCGATTCACATCCCCCACGACTCAGTGTTGTTAACACACTTCGGTTCTAATTTTTTACCCTAAATGGTTTCTGTAGACTCTCATTTTGCACTTTGTTCTAGGTCCTCACTCTCATACTACGCGAGAACTTGCATCAACCGCAGTATGTGGAAAGAGTTGAACGTATCATCCGTTTTATGATCAAGCTGAAATATTTGACTGAAGATGATCTCGGTCGAATTTGGGAATCTCAAGATGGAAAGCATGAGGCCATCTCAAAGAACGTGTTCGATATGCTGGCCAGGCTTGCACTTGAATTCACTCCAGACCAGCTCGATTATTTGTTTCGTCGTGTCCAGGTAATTGACCAATCCCTTTGCAAACTTTACGCATCGACCAGTACCGTGCGTTTTATTGAAATTCCATTTTCCGAATATTCGAGTTCCTTTCGGGTATACCGCCTATACTCGCCTCTTTTTCAAGTATCCTATATTTTCCTATCTACCCGTTCTATAGTGCGACCATTTGCGATTGTTTTCACCGTTTCTGATTAAATCAAGCTGTTCTTTTCTTCCTGTTTGACTTTTTTTGCTTATCCACAGCATTCTATTGCATACACACCCCTAGAGCGTGCACATATTCGACCGATTATCCACATACTCGTGTTTTGCTGTACGTGCGAAAAGCCGTTACACCAAAGTTGCTGTTGATCAGTCTGTTGTCTCGGAGCCCCGCGACTGCTTCCACCCACTAACGTTAGTGAGAATACAAACTGTCACGGACAGAGATTCAAGGGTTCTTTACATAGGGAAACCAGTTCGTGATATAGCATAACGCACAAACATGAAAGCCAACCAGGGTGGGGAAAGCAAGCGGACAATTAAAGCCAATAAGAACGGAACAAATGGGGAACCAATTAAGCGCACACAAGGGACGTAAGGTGAGAGTGGTAGCGTCAAAGTATTCCTGCGATCTGAAAGCAAAAATAACGACTACGAATAGCCAATAGGGATGACGAAATGATGCGTCAAAACAAACATCGGTTAACCTCCATGGTAGAACGAAAGTCTGCAATCATGACCGCTACAGATGCATACCTGTATTTTACTTTCACCTCCAACACAGTCACACACTTGTCCTCTCACGACTAGCTGTTGTGCGCTTAGTGTTGACATTGACTGGCTTCATAGTGGTTTGAGACCGTCGTGTACGAATTAAAGCATGCAATCCCTTATGTTAACCGGGAAGTGTACGTGTTGTGACTCTGAAAGGTACCCAATCGATATCTTCACTGCACAGCTATACTTTGTAACTCATTCATGAGTAAATATAAGGAGGCACTCTTTTATGTATCACCATTTGCTCCCGTTTCTTGGCACGAGTTTGCAAAGTGCTACATTTTGTTGCGCATAAACATTCGTTGGCTCACCCTTCAGATTCCATGAACTGACTCAAAGAGTTACTTTGGTCCCCACGTATTGCGTTACATGACCCGAGGTCCCTTGAAATTGCTTAGATCATTCAGTTTTTCTCAATTTCGCATTATGAATGAATGGCCCAAAGACAAATGCAAACGCGTTAAAGCTTGCTACTCAAATTTGAGTTTGAAGCGCATCGGCATGATGGCCTCCCGAAAATTGTGGTGTTCGTATGTGCTTACTCTGCTTTTGGCTTAGGCCTTTTGTTCAATGGGTCGGCGCGGTAGTCACCTACCTACTTTTAGTCTAGTCAACCGGGTAGTTTCTCGTCTACTGTTGAACCATTAAAACACTTACGTACTCTCATACTGGTTTACTCCTGCTACTAAACAAACTCAACAATCACATGCTACTCATTTATCTACCTTTCCACTTCATATTAATAATAATAATAGTACGTACGTTTCCCGATTGTTACCTGCTTCTTCAACGGGGAACGATCCTGCCTCATCCGATGTATTTGCCCCTCCTAACACCCGTTAACAACCACGCAGTCCTCAATAGGGAGCTGCCAGCCCCGAAGTCTTCCATCTTCGCTCCTACAACCTGCAACCTACTTCAAACTATCAACCAACATGCGCATATTACTACAGATCGGACAACAGATACGCACCTTGGAGGCTTGCGACTGCTTTCTACTACCTAACAGAGGCACGACTTCAAGATTCCATATCAGTCTACCGATTGTCGTCACCAATCCACCCACACACCTGATTCCATCTCCGCCTTTCTGCTGACGCTGAGTCTGCCGCTTCTAGGCAGACTGGTGTTGGGATCGCTCTCAGTGCTAGAGCCGGGGCCGCCCTCCTTGAGTGGATTCCAATTAACACTCGTCTCTGTGCTATTAGGCTCCGTGGCTGCTGCTAGGTTTGCAGACATGGAACCGATAAGCGTGCTCTTTTGGTTATCCCCACCTATATCCCCACTGACTGCAGCTCGGATGCAGTCAAAGACCAGTTCTATCAAAACCTTCATGAGTTGTTGCTAAGGGTGTTCTGACACCACCGTTATGGCAGGAGACTTCAACTCATGTGTGGATGGGTTGCTGTCATTTAAATGCTACCTTAGTAGACCGCATAAGTATGGTATTCGGACAACGTAGAGAGACTGATCATTGTACATCCCGACCACGAGCTTCATTTCCCGAGCACGAACTTTCATCACCCTAGACACCATCATGCCACCTGATCTTTTCTATCGTTTGTTCAGCGTTACTCGCAAATTTAGTACACATATATTATTCGCAATTGGCGTTGCAGCACACAGGATTGCTCATCATACTGATCAATTTGTGTCAAAATTAACCATGCATTGGTGTACGCGATAGTTTGCATGCGATTCGGCCGCTCATTTAAGACCAAACAAACCAGATTGAACACTTGCAGATGGAGTATCGATACCTTGATAGAAGGATTTTATAAGCCAGTGAAATCGTGTTCCTCCTCAATATCTTTAGACTTTTCTTTTGTGTCGATCGTTTGAATTTGGGGGTCGGCACGAACTCGATTTATAGGTGGCCACAGCACTTCGCCTACCCAAAAATGTGCATCAATTCTGGTGACGGTGTGGGAGATGAATTTTCCTAACGGATCGCAAAGGCCCGCCTTAAATACATCAGACAGAGACACCCATGGTTTTCTCGCGCGGTCAACCTCTCAAGCTCAGGTGCATGGGCAGGGAGTTTACTGCCTTATCCTTATGGTCGCATTGTATGACTGTGAGATTTGGCTTGTCCACTTGGAAGATATGAGACGACTATCAGCGAAGGATTGCTCGTGTGTGGTGGCAACATCACACGAGTAATACAGAAGTTCATGATCAAGTGCTTGGAGCAAATAGTCTCTGCCATTCAAAATCTTGTTCTCCGAATCTGTGTGCGTTAGCTAGGTCGCGTACTGCGCATGCCATCCCATCGCCTTTCCCGTTGGGCTTTGTTTGCGCTTTCCGGAAACGATTGGAAAGCTGCCGCAATGGACAAACAATGACGTAGAAAAGGAGCATTTAGGTAACCTCAATGTTAGCATCATCAGGCCCAGATTGGAGACTGACGATGACACTGACTGCCAGTGGTTAGGAACGTGAGGTGTTAGGGTCCGCAACAGAAATCAGTAGCGCCAGTGTTATTATGCTGTATCGTTTATTATTTAGCGTTCAGTCGAGGGACAAAACAAAATACTAACCGGTGTGTGTCCAACACAAAAAACATTTTTGTCTATAACGTTGTTCCTTATTTTTGCGGTGGTTCCCATGGAAAGTCTGTATTCTGACTTGTGGTTATGTATGGTTGGTGCCATCTGGTTCGGGGTTTGGCTATCACTGCGACCTTCATGGGGACAGCGTCAGTACGCCTGCGCCTACGGAGGGACCATGAGTGGTTTGCGCTGCACCACCCACAACTCCTTCCACGCACCCCATATCCAGTGTAAACCCGAAGGAATAAGATCGGGAGGCATGTGGATGGGAGCCAGGTTTCATCAACGGAACCGACCCACACTCCTTCAACATGCACAGCAGCAGCACTCCTGTCTATCTATGTGGTGAAACATGCGTACCAGATGTACCCAAGGGGGTTGCTGGACCGTAGTCTGCTCCACACTGGATGGAACCACTGAGACTAACGCTGTCAGGAGGACCATGCACCGCTTACCCTCCAGCAACGAATAACTGTCTCCTGTAGCCAGTAATCGAGGTAGCAATTTTTCGACAGGTAGGTACCTTGTCAACATTCAAACCAGACGCAGCCGCACCAAGGATATGAATCATCAGCCAACACCTGAAATTCAAGCAACTCAACACGCAAGCACACGTGCAGACCAAATGTAACGATGAGGTAGCACGCGTACCACTTTAACCGCCTGGGTCAATAAATTGAATCGGAAGCAGCGTATTTACCATCCACTGCGTTGATGATAATCACATACTTAGATTACTCGTCTTCTCTTTGATGTTGGCCCCACGTGTTCATGCTGATGGCTTACGATGCCGCCTTGGTTGAGGCACTCGTGACCGCAGGTGCTACATCACTATGCGCTTGACACCGATGGACTATCATCCCTCGGCGCCTGTGGCTTTCTCAACCGACATTTCTTTCCCACATCCAATAGTGCTTTCTCCTGCGCCTGAAAAACCGTCCTCTTGATCAGCACACGCCATTCGCGCCGATCAAATGCCTTTGATTCCCAACGCATGAAATCAACTACTTCGTGCTAAACTCACCTTGATGATGTCGTCATAACATACCTTCGGTTTTCGCGCAATAAACCGTCCAGGTCTCGCTGCCGTATGAAGGAACGGACATAGCCATCGAGTTGCATATCAGCAGATTTGTCCCAACGATCAGCTACTGATTGTTTTACACCTGACTCTTCAGCTTTCCAAATAGGTGATCCGCCTTCGCTACACCGATATGTAGTTGACCCGTCATCTGATGGTCGGTAGATATTCAACTCCCAAGCCGGAGAGATCAGGAAGTCGTTTCCAAGAACGTCATCACCGACGTGGATTTGCGGCAACCCCACGGATTTTGTTTCAGATGAAGGACGAGAAAGATAGACACTCTGGCTTGTATTGATGGTGAGTTCGAACTTGTACGCTTTCGAAGCGACAGCCGTCATAAAGCGTTGCGATACATCCGTGCTGTGTGCAAACAACGCACAGTTGTCGGCAAATAGCAACATACGGGTGGTTGTCTCACACTAAAAGGTTCAGCGACCCATCATCAGTACGGTGCTCCACACGGACACCGTAATCACAAGCAGCATCGAAAGCGCAATACATCCTTACATGCAGGTAAATCTTAAACGGTGCGTAGACTAAGATACAGCCTTGCTTCACACCAAAAACAACCTCAGGATCATGCTGGGTTTGTCCATAGAGCTGCACCCTCGCCTGCTTACCACTGTGTGGACATTCACTTAGACTTACAAAATTACTCGGGCAACCAAACTTACCCAACACCAGCCACAATGCCTCGCGGTTCACCGTATCCAATGCTTTGGTGAAATGAACATAGAGCGAGTACAACCGCTGGTGTCGCTCTCTGCCTTTCTACTGCGCATGACTCTACTTTCCCAAGT